CTAGCCGGAGTTAAAGCACGACACTCGCTAACATCATCTGCTCCCGGGGGCATTTATTAGTCTCTGTGGACAGGCCAACGCCTCGCCCACGCAGGCACTCGCTCCACCGCGTGCACCCCCGAAGGTGAGGTGTGGGCACGGCGCTTTTTTCCCACGCAAAGCCTTAGGATCAGACCATGCTGCGAGGAGAGGTGGGACTCGCTGCATCCACCCGGCGGGCAACACGTGGCAGGGTTACCCGTGGCAGCGCTATCCACGCCGCGATGTCAGCGGGAGTGGGAGCTGGCTGTCCTGGACACCTGGGCCTCAATTCCAGAACCGGGAGCAGCCATCTCCTGCAGTCGGCAAGCCCGACTGGATCTAGGGATAACGCCATCCCCTGCTCTCTGGCATCGCTCGCACCCTTTTCTAACCACATGGTTTCACCGCGACGCTCCTCCCCACGCCACCTCCGCTTCTGCGGCGCGCATAGTTCACGGGCCCTTGGAAGGCACCTTCTCGGCACTGCCAACACACCAAGTAACAGCAGCGACGCGTAACTTCTGCGACTCCCGCTTACCCCAAATGAAAACTGCTTTGCCTTGGTTATTACGGTTTCGTATCATCTCCAGCGGTGACGCTTCCGGGAGCGTTGCTTCCCGCAGCGTACCGCACTGCCTCACGGGAGCTGCAGCACCACGGGCTCTGTTCTGCGGCGGATCCTGCGCTCCTAACAAGCACGGAAAGCTGATGCAGCCAGCCCTGTAGGATCCCTTGCTGATGCTCTGAAACAGGCCACACCAAAAACCGACTCGGAACTCTCCTTTCTGGCTAACCGACCTACTCGTTCTGAGTTACCAAAGAGAGGTAACACCCCTTTTACTACCCGAGTACATTTAGCCCTTGTCTGGTGATCTCTTACAGGGTTTTGCTGGGGTTTTCCCCTTGGGAAAGGGGGTTTGTGGTGAACGAGATTGGTTTTATAGCTGCATAGGCTAATATGGAATGAAGTGTCTTGCTTATCCCCCCTCCCTCCCAACAGAAAGCTAGCGCAGCTCTATCCACGCTGACGGGAAAGGGAAGAATCAACACTGATTCATTATGAAGCGCTTCCTTCTAGAAATTCTATTGTTCTGGCTGACTAGTTGATTAAGAAAATGACCCTGGCTCTTCGCAATAAAAGGGCCCTTTTCTTTATGTCACATAGCTTGCTGTTTGGGGGTCTTTTTTAAAAAAAAGAAGACAACACATTGTATTTTGGATAGTCCAGTACTCGGGCCACTTCCTGTTTGTAACTAGGCTTGCCTAAAATCATCAGATTTTGATGTCTGTAATACAGCGTTGTGCTCAGCTAGAGGAAGCTTTCAGAGGTACTCGGCCCCCAGCTGAGTCTGCAGTCGCAACAGGGCTGTAAGATCGTGAGCTCTTCCGTGAACGCGCATCTATGCAACACGCGGCTAATGAAATTCAAGGCCTACAAATAGTTCAAGTTTCAACAACACCTCTAAGAAGTGAAAAAAAATCTTCTACCAAAAATACTCCCCATACATTCAAACTAACACTAAATCATTCACTTCCCATGGTACATTAAAATCGCTTTTACTTCCGACAGTGCTCTGCACTTCCCGGGTATTTCTGAGGACGTGATTGAATATGCAACCACCTCCAGTTGCAGTTTTAAAAAACAAGTGAAATTTTCAGCCTGAAGTTTCACACAGTTTAAATCCACCTTCTGAAAATGACAAAGATTTCCTTTAAAAATCGGTATTTCACATAAAAAGGAGTAAACTACTAGCAAAAAAAAAAAAAAAAAAGAGGTAAGAAATGCCACTTTTATCAAAAGGTTTTAGCTCTGCCCTTCTGATGTCTTTACAAGTGAGAAATGCAGCTGCAGTCTATGAGACTGCCACCTTTGTAAGTACTGTACATAGCAGAGGACAGTTACCCAATAACCAGAAAATCTGCTACAAAAATATATTATGTGTTTTGTAACCTCTGCAGGTAAACAGCAAAAAAATGCTCTTAAAAATGCCGAAAAACCTAGTAGCCTACCATACGAACCATAAAGTTAAAATAAAGTGCTGTCTGGCTTTGTTTTCTGCCTCCTAAAGTTCCTCTTACATAGAATTTTAGCTTTCTTCTTCAAAGTAAGATTATTTTAAAAGCCAAATCGCCCCTTCTGGGAAGGACCATTGCTAATCTGCTCTGGATTAATTAAACTAAATTCACGGTAAATTACAGTAAAATGCCCTAAAATGAGCCACTTGAGTTTGGTTCTTGAACGTGTCCAACCTAGCATCAGCTCCACCACCTAAAAAGCGCAGCCAGAAAACCACCAAGACACCCCCCCACTCGCAAACTTACATTAAAAACGCATCTCTCCCGCATCGTTTGCTTCTGAGCCCCTTTCGCGTCTCCTGAACGTTCCTCATCAGTCGTCACCAGTGAACTAAAAGGAACCAGTATTTACATGGAAAGCTGTTTCCCTAGGCATATGCCGGTGCAATTTGTTATCAACAGCTGACAATACCACACTGGGAGGATACAAACTGGTTTTACGATTCTTCTGACTTCCCTACGAGCTGGGATTCCCCCTCAGCCAGTATTTTGCCAAGGACTGCATCATAGAAAGGGCTGAAGACCATTTTGTTGTAGTTGACAAGACGAACGTACTTGACAGCGACCTCTTCCAGCTCTCTCTGAACAGGGCCTAATCCTCCAGGAACAGCAGGTAAGGATCTCTGGTGGCTAGATGCAAGATAATTCTCCAGAAACTTTTCAATTCGAGAATCTGGAAAAATGGGACCAAGGGTTTTGGTTTGTTTTCGCAAGAGACAGGCGAGCAGACACAGCGTAATCTCGCGTCAAACGCGGAAAGCCTGCACGCAGTGAACAAGCAGCTGGAACACGAGAGGAGGAACCGTGCGTGACACCGTGCCAGTTTCAGACAGAGAGCCGAGCGGTCGCCTGCCAACCCAGCCAAAGCGTACCTATGAGCCTGCGTATGGTGTTGTCCGGGTCGGCCACTGCTTGGATCTGCCCCTTCAGTCCGGTCTCTCTCTCAGCTGAGAGCGGTGTAAACCCATGCCGGGAGAGGCAGCTGTTCACTTCGGCACACACCTTTTCACCGATGGTAGCCAAAGATTCCTGCAGGTTAAAGGAGCTAGAGAAGGTGGAGTACAGCGTTACGTCGTGGCGTTATTCGCTTTTTTCCCCACCTTTTGAAAATAAACTATCCCATTAGCATCGTCTTATTTATCAAATGTCACAGAAGAAGCGTAATCCCGATAAAGCCAGAACTATGAAGAACAATACGTTTTATACGCATGTAAAATAAAGTTGAGATATAAAACGAGGAGGTAGGACAGCATTAAACACTTCCAGCCTGAACAATCCCTACAACTCAGAGCTGACTTTCTGCCTACAGACAGCTCTAACGCCAAACACAGTTATCAACCCACGACGTGCCCAGCTGGCGTTCCAAACCTGCGAGCAGCTTGCTGTACCGCACTCGGATTCTCGAAGGAGCCGGGCGCAAACCGGGCGCGGTTAGTTGCTCGCCCTCCTGTGCCAACGGGGCATCGGCACACCCATGCTCTGAGAAAAGGAGCATGTACGTACCAGAACAGAACAGAGACAGAGAAGACAGTTCTGTCTGAGCGAGCTGAATGAAGACCGTCTGCCTGGGCTCGTGAAAAGCCCTCCTCGCTTCCCCTACGTACCCTGCAGCCCACAGCCAGAGAGAGGCGCACGCTGGTTACTCACAGACCTACACCTGCTCTGCGGGACGGGGACTATTGCTTCCCTGCCAGCAGCACCTTGACGACGGTTTTGATTTTCTCTGCAAACCCAGGCATATCGACGAGTGCGGAGCCTGCTGCGCTGAATGTGACCAGAAGGACGGTCCCCGTCAGGAGGAGCTGCTCCAGCTCCAGCTGTATTTCCTGAAAGCGGCTCTGGTCCATTAGCACTGTCTGCAAAGAACGAGGAAGCCAGCAGAGAGTAAGGTCAGGATGCCGGGCTGTGAATGACACTGATGCCCACGTCCTCACAGCAGTGAGGACAGACACAGCGAAGAGCAACGTGCGCTGCAGGTGACTAACAGGAGCACAACGAGAAGAATTGACTCGTTTCTCTCTTCCAACAAAGTAAGTTTCAATACTGACAAAGAACCACCTATTAGAAGAGCTACAAGAGCTCTCAACCAAGAGGTAAATGCTGTAGGATCGTGCCTGTTGCAATGCTACAAATCCAAACAGCTTCTGTTACATAGAGTCATAGAATCACAGGCTGGTTTGGGTTGGAAGGGACATTGAAGATCATCCAGTTCCAACCCTCCTGCCATGGGCAGGGACACCTTCCACTAGACCAGGTTGCTCCAAGCCTCATCCAGCCTGGCCTTGGACACTTCCAGGGATGGGGCATCCACAACTTCTCTGGGCAACCCGTTCCAGTGCCTCCCCCCCCTCTCCAGGAAGAACTTCCTGACATCCCAGAGATGGAAAAGTAGAACAAGCAGAGAAATCAATTTTTCTGTGAAACACCTACCTCTGGAAAAGGCCTGTTGACATGATCCCACTTAAGGAGCTTCAGGTAGGCCTGGTTCTGCACAGCTGTGGGGCACAAGGCAGCAGCTCCACCAGCGGCACCATCCCCGCTACAGCGCAGAGGCAACGCCCTACACCTCAGCTTCGCGAGATCATCCGCTGCTTCTTGCAACCACCTTGTGACGAGGTCTAAAGAATCTGGAAGAGCAGCAGAAAAAGAAATCTTGTTAAGAAAATTCCTTTTCAACACCGGGGTTTTCCACCAACACTTTCCAAATCAAGCCCTGAGTTACTAACACCCACCGTACCAGTTACTAACATGCGTTTCATGTATTGCACTGAGCAGAACACCAAAGCCCACATTAAAACCAACAGCTGCAGGGAACTGGAGATGAGACGATGCTGGCTGATTATGCCCTACACTGAATTGACACGAAACTAAACTCCAGTGTACCAAGTGCAGAACTGCTGTTCCGGCAGATTCTGTCAAAGACAGTTGGGGCACAAGCTGTCATTTACCACGTGAATTCTAGAACTTACCAAAAAAAAAATCTGATTTATTTTTATGATCTACAAGCAAAGACACACAGTTTACTGGGAGGTCAGAGGGGAAGAAAGAAAGGAACAAAGTCATACTTGGCTGTTTCTCAAGAAACTCCTGAAACTTCTTTCTTTCATACTCAGCAGACTGCTGCATTAATTTTGGCCTAATACTGCTGACAGCGAAGTTTGCCATATCCATTTTCATTAGGTCTAATACAGAGAAAATTGCTCTAAACAAACAAACAGAAAAAGTTATTCAAGGCTGCAGATGTTTCAGTGGTACTGTTTACAAGATGTATTACAGACTGTCTAAGGAAAGAGCAAAAACATGCATGGGAAACATCAACAGGGCTTAATCATTTAAGAGCATGAGACAGAGAGAAAGTTTGAGCAAGCACGCACGTGCCTCTTCCAAGTAGGAAATAAAACTTGCTCTCCTATAAAGAGCCTCCATGGAGTTAACTTTACTAGCTTCACAGACTCTCTTTCCCAGGATGTGCCATATGTTATGTTGAACACATAAAAAGAGATCAGGATTTCCAAGCTTGCACACTATCTGTCTTGGCAGCCTATAAAGCCAACCTCAGTGGGAAATGAATAATAAGACTCAAGGGGAAAAAAAAACCACCAACACCCCAACCTCCCCACCACTCCCCCTCCAAAAAAGCCCAAACCCACAAAACAAACAAAAAAAACACCACCAAAAAATTAAAACACCTTAATTTCAATTTCCTGCTGGCGATACTTCTGCCAAGTCAATCCTGTACTCTTGGAAGCTTCTCAAATTAGCAAACAAGGTGGTTAATGAAATTTCTCTCCGAGTAGTGAGACCTCGAGCTGTTGAGCTGAGAACACGGTGACACAGCAGAAGCCCCTGTGCACCCAGAGGTGGTATGTCTGCTCCCTTTAGAACTGAAGGGCATCACACAGGGAGTGGGATGGGCGTAAAGAGAGCTCAAATTATGGGGAAAGGAAGAACTGGTTGGGGAGCAACAACATCTTCTTCCTATGCTCCTGCTTGCCTTTTTGTCCCCTTCTGATGTTGATAATACATTCTGATACAAAGTGACTCTTCACCTGCTATCATAAGGCTTATATGCGTTTGGTATTTGAGAAAAAGTCTCCTTCAGTGATGGGCAGGAGCCAGAGAAATACTCCAAGTCACCAGAACAAAGAGGGTCCTCGTTAAAGACTTCTGGAGCATCTCTCCCCTTCACAACCACAGCTATATCCCTTTCCCTATCACTCTCTTTTCTACAAAGATATTGGGGTTGCCCTTCTGGAAAAAATCTAAATCAAATCTAAAATTATTTAAGGGACTCTGAACTTGACTGATAAATACCATTTCAGTACCTGAACAGAGGAACTATTTCATTAATATCTTTCAGTTTCTTAATTTCTTCATCTCGAGCTGGAGCACAGAGAGTCCCCATCATCCCAATAACAAATTCGACCAACTTAGAAATGTCCAGGGCCCCATTCTCTGCCTCCTGTTTTATCAAATCCAGGTCAAGAACTTCCGTAATCTGGCTTCTCAGTCTAGTATGACCAGGCAGCAAGAAAGACAGGAGATTCTGAAATGGAAAGTTTTAGAAAGTGCATTAGTTCTACATATTAAAGGCTACAGGGATCAAAACAGTTATTGGATCACTTTTTATTTAAACTAATTGCCCTTTACGAGCGGAATCTCCTCTTTTCAACCAACTCTTCACCAACTCCAAGTGCTTCATGTCATTCTGTGTGACCCTGAAGTTACTATGTGGTAAAAGAAGATCGTACTGAAGACTGTTGTACTTGGTTTTGTCAGCTCGGTGTTGGGGCACCTGGTTGATTCTGTGACTACTGCTACTGTCATAACACGAAGGAAGCTTGGAATTATGAAACTAGTATTACTTACCTTTTATTCATTTTACATGGGTTTGCATTTGTTTTTACATTCAAATTTCCCCTCTGGGGTTATACAACTTACACACATTCACATACAATGATACAGTAAAGAAAAAGATTGAGAGTCCTTTATGAAAAGCCAAACTTCAACCACTTTTGCCCATTCCTATCAATGCAGCTACACAAATGCAGTAAATTACCTCATCTTACCTCTTTAATTTCTCCCAGTAGTTTAATTGCATGGTCATACGTTGGCGGATCTTCCTTTAGCTGAGCTTCCAGACAATCCCAGAAAGCTTTATGCACAATATCTCTTACTTTTTTTTCTAAGCTGTGGGTAAATATGACCAGTTAAGAGAATAATAGTTGTCTCTGCACCACCTCACACAGATAACCTGCAGCTCCTGAAGAAAAGCACGTAATGATATGAATACAATGTAATGATGAACATACGCCAATTAACAGAGGGAAGAGCTGTCATTTTAACTTACTCAGAAAAGCAAGAAAAACTGGACACAGGACTTAGAATGGTTTATATCTAATGAAGGGTTACACACAAGCAAAAGCAGCTACAAATTAAAATCCTTGAAAGTATCTATCATATGCTACCTCTAAAGTAAACAACTGGAAGAAAAAAAAAACCCAGAAAGCATAAAAATTACAGCTTGTCTTCAAAAGACCAGTACTCCCCTTCCTTTCAAAAGCCTCACTAAGGAAATGCAATTCTACTAAGTAAAATGCACTAAATAAACCTAACAGAAATGAAGTAACTTCCCTGACACAAAAGCTTCTGCATTTCAACGCAAAAATACTGCAACTGCTCTGAGATAAAGGCCCGGTTCAGCTTGTGCAAAAAACATCTAAATTAATTCAACCGCTTCAGTGTCAATCCCTAATCCCAAACCCCGGAAGTGACTGCTCATCAGCGGGCAGGCTGCTGCGCACCAGGTTTCACTCCGACAGCCAAGGCGCACACAAAGACCAGGTTCCCAAGGCTCTGGCCTCACGTGCAGCCGAGGTTCAGGCAGCACCCAGGGGCGCTCACGCCCCGTGGCCCTCCCCGACCAACCAGTCGGAGCTGCCTGCTCCTCCGGCCGCCTGCCTGCACGTACGCACAGGCTGTGGGGACTCTGAGCTACACACACGCAACGTTTAACCCAAGGATGATTCCAGAGTCCCTCTCCAAGCAAAATCCGAAGGATCACTCTATTCTAGGCGGTACAGAGCTGTACACAGAACCCTCACCAAGGCATCTGGTACTGACGCTGGCCTGGCGCATCCAAAAGCCCAGGCACTCCTGAGCAGTTCCCGTTTCTGTGATCAGGTGAAGAGATGCAGACCGGCCGCTCTGGTGAACAACTGCAGCCACTGCTGAGCATCGGTGAGCAAAAGCATCTGACTTTCCAAAGTACA